AAGTTAACAGTACGAAGACAAGAATTAAGCATGTCAAGGTGTTGAAAGCAGCGATTTCCACAAAATTACAAAATATCGACGCCACGTGCACCCGTTGATTGAAAACTGAGAGATCAGATCACATTTAGGTCACTTTGCCTTTTTATTATTTCGATAGACATCGAAACTTTCATGTTTATTCTTTTTCAGTTCCTCTTTTATGACAGCCTGATTTGAAATCAGGGGAGCAGCTAGAGCCTTCGCAGCGCAGACGTACGTAAGTTTCCAGATTTCCTTGTCATGCAGCCGTACCTACAAATTTCAGAAGGGCCGATCAGCTTCAATGACAGGCTGAGTGAACACCACATGTTATTCCCCACATGTACTAGTGGAAACTCACCTCTGCACACCAAAGGCTCGGTGTCTCTTATTTCAAATCAATAAGTGTCATTGGCAAAGGCATAAAAACTAAGCTTGAACTAGAAGTATTTACAGCCTTCAAAATAAAACAAAACATGACAAAGCATCATACGTAAACCATCCATCAGTTTTCCTAACAAATACAGAATTCACGTTGCTATACATGGTGATTTAATGGTGGCGTCCATATTTTAGTGTTTCATGAAAACGGGCTGTTTGTAACAACTTAGCACCTCTGCACTAATAGGTGTGCAACGGCGAAATGACTCAGATAGCCTATTTATGCACGCGTTGCTGTGTTGTGTGTGGGTATAGGCTTCACGCAATAAACATTGAGCTTGAAGTCTAGCGCTTGCTCTCTGGGGCTGTTCTCCTATGCTGTCTTCAAGTCTTTAGTTGTTTCCCTCTTCCGAATATTAGGAAGACTCGAACAGCAAGCTGCGTTTGTGATGTCTTGTTTCAAACACCACTGTGACAAATGGGCATCTAGATCTCTTTAGTCGGAGATCACTCGGTTTGGTTGTCTGGCGAGTGCGTATGACAAAGCGGAGGAAACACAAGGCATTACACTCTCACCCTTTAGTGTTTCGTCTGCATGCATTCATGTTCTGTGCAGTACTTCACACGGTGTTTATGGTGATCCAAATCTCGCCAAATTTTTTATTTTACTGAACCTGCCAACTAGATCATTTGTTTGATGGAGCATATTTCATCGGTTGTGTTTGTCCCTTTCTTGCTTCCTTAAATGCTGTGTTCCCATTCCCTAATTGACCTTTTCTAAATGCGTATACAGCAAGCAGCTGGCTCTTGCTCGTTCAGACTTCTGAGCTTAGTACGCAATTCTTTCCTTACGCATACGGAAGCGCTTATACATTAACTAGCACCGATCTTCCCCTTTGAACTGTAACTGTTCCTTAACTTGCTTTCACAGTGGTATTGATTGTTGTTCTAATACTGACTTCCCACACCTTATATTCATATATATTGGGTGAAAGGAGTATATAGACTGGATTGTCAGCCAGAATACCGTCTGTCTGTCCGCACCTTCTGAGAGAGGCATTGATGTAGGCATGCTAGGAGGGAGAGACCCACGGCTTCAGGAGTTTCACCCTTAAAAGTCGGTAACTATTAGAACACTTGGCACTCTTCTACTATGAGAGAGCTGAATGCCGTCCCGGGAGCCTCACACTTGATGAGGGCGTATGAACAAAAATGACTTGCTGAGTGCATTAGTGGCACGAAACGTGAACGACCTTCACCGTTCATCGTGTGTTTAGAAAAAGTGGGTAAAGCAGCCGACTACCTTAACCCATTAGAGCACCGTGGTGGGGCTGCTGGGTACACTTAAATAACAGGATCAGAAACAACTGCCCAGTGCTCCTTATATCCTAATAACGTAGAGCGATAGTGTTGGACTCAAAATAAACATTAATTTTAATTTCAAGCTCACTATAGTCAAGCGAATACAGGTCGCTGAACACGGCAATGGATGTGTTCGGTGACTGTCTAAGAAAACAAATCAAAATACAAATATAAATACAATTGCCACCCCCATATCCCGCGACTCACCAGCGAATGATCTTTGTGGGGGAGTAGTGCTACGTGATTTTTGTTGCATACAATCATCAGTTCTTTTCACTGCCAGCACACATACTATATACGCGCAATCTTATATAAAAGTTCGACGTCCCTCTATAAAACATTAAGTATGACTCAGAATATGGTGTCAAAATCTTCGCGAAAGTTTAGCAGAAAGCCGTTTGTCTTACCGCGAAACCCGTGTCACCAACAAGGCCTTGTGTAAATAAAGATTCGATCTGCAATGCAATAACCGTTTTTGGCGTTGTGAAAATGCCTCTGGCCCCTTGTTGCATGCCGCTCACTCTGAGCGGCATGCGGGAGGGTGTCAGAAGCATTCTCGTGATGCCAAAAATAATTAATGAATTACAGATCGGTGCTTTACTTACGCAAGGACATGTTGGTGACACTGGTTTTGCGGTAAAACCAAAGTTGGCGTCGGCAGCGGCGCAACAAAGCTGTTGGCGGCGATGCGCCAACGTCTCGGCGCACAACTCTATTCCTTCGTGCGCATTGCCGTAGTGCAATGCGCACGATTTTTCAAATAGAAATTATATAAAAAAGGTTGATCTAGCTAGCGCTGCTGTCTAGTTAGTTTATGAGGTTTAAAATGAACAGAATATATAATCTTGCAGAAAAACACACAGCGTAAGTAGCACAGCACTCGTACTATCTATTTTTTTCCTTATTTCTAATTGCGCCTGCAGGTCGCGGGATCGAATCCTCGCTGCTGTGGCTGCATTTTCAATGGAAGCGAGAATGCTGGAGGCCTGTGTGCTCAAACTTTAGTCACGTTAAAGAACCCCAGTTGGTTGAAATTTCCGTAGCCCTCTACTACGGCGTCTCTCATAATCATATCGTCGTTTTGGGGCATTAAACCCCACGTATCAATAAATTTTTTCTCATCGCGCATTTGTGCCAGTATTCTGGGACGATTAAATAAAAATTTCTCATTAATTTTCTTTTCATGCATCGCGCTGGCCGGGAGGCTAGCGATGAGTATATTGGATAATAACGGTGAAAATTGAGAAGAGAGATACGAGAAATGAAATAATTGTTTGTTTGGTCGACACTATACTAATCTTGTCCCTGTAAAAAAAAAAAAAAGAAATCCGCGCATATCCACGAAGTGAATGATGACGAGTGGGCAAAGCTACGTCCTAAGGTTTGCAATGTCTACGTTGAAGCCGCCGGCTAATATGAAGGACGGAAAGATGGACGGACGCACGGATGGTTGAACGGACAGGTGTTAGGACGGACGGAAATACGGACAGATGAATCATGGAAGGACGGACGGTTGGTGCAGGTGAACATGTAATGTGCTTTCATGTAATTGGTCTACACATGAAATCGGTTTTTTTTTTTTTTACACAGATATTCTCGTTTTTCGTAACCAAGGTGTTCAGTTTCGGTTTCGGTTTGTGGTGCATGCGGGAAGTGAAACAACAAGGCTCGACTATGGTGGCTCGAGCTTAGCTCTGAAGAGAAAGTGTCAGCCACAGCCGCGATCAAGCAAGGTGCCAGATAGGGCGAGCTCATAGCTACTCTTCAAGCATACAATTGCTGTTGAAAGATATGGAGAAAGATAGTGACTGCGGGGAGGAAAAGGCACGAAATACAGGAGGTATGGGGTTCGATTCTCAGCTCGCCAAGCACCCATCCGTTTTTTCAAGTGGCTCACCTCTTCCGCTCACCTTTTTTACTCTCCCCTTGCCCTGCCCCAAACGACGCCGCACCTATGGGTTGATCCTCTCTTCGAATCAGTACCATAACTACGGGTATTGTCCCTAGAATATACATACTACGATTGAGTGTATATCAGGCAGCTCGTTTTATCCTCTCTCTTTTACCGCGTGTCCTTTCATTCAGCAGCAGTGGCACATGGAAAGGCACATATTTTCGTACAGTAACAGCAACAGTAAGCCACGGAGATTGAAGATTTTGTAATTGTACGAACTAGCTCAAGACGGCTAAAACTTAGCCCGATCTTCCATTACTCTTTCCTTTTGATGTCAGGCGCACTAACTTGGTGGAGCCCCTCTCATTACTTGAACGACACACACGACCGACACACTATTTCTCTCAAATAATAAATTTGTAAATTTAATTATTATTGCGTCATGTCAAGTAAACAAATTAATAATGCTCAGTAGTTTTATGTTGATTCGCAAACTTCAATGTCCGCATCGAGTTCAAGTTATCCCAGCTCCGACAAACTATGCAAGCGTTCTTTCATATATACGCAGCATTTGTAAATGCAACACCGAAAAATAATTTAACTTCGCTTCAAAAAGGGGAGAAATGAAAAATTATATCACCTTTTTTTGTTCACCTCCTCTGTTCTGTCGTTCTGTCCTCCCGAAAGTGGGCGCCACAATCTGTCGGATTTGCGTTTTTTGCTCTCATGTTTGTTCTAACCGGCGCCTAGAAGCGCTGCTCTAACTGAAAGTGTGAAGGCCGGCTCTAGTACGTGAAAGTTCCGGCGCCCTGCTAAGCATAAGAATGGCTTGATTCTGAAGTATTTTTCTGCTTTATTTCACGGCCATGATCAAACGACTTACTTCGGCGGTCAGCGGCTATAAGCCGCCTTAAGGCTCTTTCACATGCCGCGATTGCAGCGAAGGATGAAGAAAAAAAAAAAATCGTTCCGTTCGCTCCAACCACTTTGTTCGCAACCGCCGCTGATGGCTGTTTCGTTTCACATGGACCGCGAACGGTCCGCGATTTTCGCTCTGCGAATGGAGCGGCGAGAAACGTTTCTTGCCGCCGTTCGTTGTGGGCAGTGGCTGTGGGAGACACTGTAGAATTTTTCAAATATGATGTAACAATCTGTGCGTTATGGTATTAATGTTTCATGAATGGTAACGAAGAGCACTTGTGTTTCGTCATTTAAAAACGCTTTCCAAGTTTTTCCTTCCTCCATAACCGACCATCACTAAAAAAAAAAACAAAAACAAAAAAAAAACGTCGACGGTATTTCGACGGCTTGGTCGGCCCTGCCCTATTTCGACGGGTCTCGACTAAGAATCGCTCCCGCTGCTGCGACCAGAGCGAGAATTTCCATGTTGGAAGCTCGCCGCGGACCGCTGTGGCTGGAAAGAACTGGCCCTTTTTTCGCTGCGAGCGAATACGTGGACTGAAAATCGCTACTTTTGCGTCATGTGAAACGGCCTTTACAACCAGCGGTGAGGTGCCTGCACACTTACTTGCTCCGGTGACTTCTCACGCGCTGTGACATCAACAGCCGCTGTCGAACGCTCTCGCTAGGTTGCTTCGTGAACTGCGTCAGTGATTTATCTTTTGTCGTTCGAAAGACGTGCAGCGGGAAGAATGGCGAAGTCTTGTGTTCAAAGTACCGTTCTCAGCGTGGATGCCACCCAAGATGTGAAAAACGGTGATTTTAGGTGAGTGCACAGTGATGGCTCGTCGATGAGGTTGCAGCGTAAGCGCATTACTTCGCGAAGGTGTTCTTTGGATGATTATTTTAGTGATTTGCGGAATGAGGTACTGTTGTTGCCGTTCCAGAAAGCATGTACGGGCAATGCAAATTGTTCTACACAGTAGAACCAGAGAACACCTCTCTCGTGTAAACACTTTTGGGGCATTGCGTAGCTGTAGGCTTGGAACGTGGAACATTTTGCGCGCGAGCCCGGGATACTTAACGCAATGTTGCATTGTGACCTTTAGTGAAAATAGGTTGAAAACAAAGGGGTTGAAAAAGCGCAACTCGTGCTTTGTATTTGGCTGGTATTTGGTAGACAACTCGTTGTAAGCAGGGCGCGGGATCAAATCCCGGCCGTGGCGGCTGCATTTCCGATGGAGGCGGAAATGTTGTAGGCCCGTGTACTCAGATTTGGGTGCACGTTAAAGAACCCCAGGTGGTCGAAATTTCCGGAGCCCTCCACTACGGCGTCTCTCATAATCATATGGTGGTTTTGGGACGTTAAAACCAACAAATCAATCAAATCAACTCGTAACGATTCTGGGGACATCCTGGCAACATTGCGTCAAGAGCCCTCTGGCGTTATTCTCGTCGTGGTTTTGCTGGTAAAGGCTGTGTCACATGCCGCGGTTGCAGCGAAAAAAAAAAAAAAAGTTCTGTTTGCCCCTACCGCTCTGTTCGCAACCTTTGCTAATGGTAGAGAGGTGTTCTCTGGTAGAGTGATGCTAGTTAACACACGCAGCTGTTCAGAGGCCATGGTGTAGTGTTTTTTGCCATTGGGACGCTAGAGACTATTTGAAGAGGCCTCATCATTTTAGTAGCACGGCGTTCGGTGCGAGTTGGCGAAATGGTATCGCTCAAGAAGCAGCGGCAAAGGTAAACAAGCATGCCGAGCCGTTTCTTGTTCTTTTTTTTAAAATGTTTTTCCTTAACACCATGGAAGACGCAACGAGCATGGTTCATTCTGCGCGTTCTAATAGGCTTATATTTTTAATGAGTTCTGGGCCAGATGCAGATCGAATCTGCAGATGCAGATCGAATACATATCGAATCTGATTCGATATGTATTTTCACGGTCGAACACATATGTGCGTGTTGTTTTTTAACCTTCAAGGTAACACGCCATCTCTCGTTCAATCTTATCTGGAATGTAAAATAATCAATACTTCTCGTCTTCGGTCAGTTGCACGGCAGCCTCGGTCGCATATGCCGGCTTTACTAATAATCGACATATTGGTATAGTACTTCTTATTTTTAATTCTTCCTTAGTTGGAATATTCGTCTAGGAGCGCATTTGCAAATTGTCTGTTGTTTTAAAACTGCACTCGTAAAATGTTTGTGTATATTTGCAGGTGCTAGACCCTGGTTTCTATGTACTTGTAGTGCCTAAGAAAAAACTCCTCAAAAAAGAAAAAAAAAAACGCAAGCAGGGACTGTACTGGGCTGTGTTTAAATAGTTTATAATGCTCCAGTTGGGAATGGTGTAGTGTCATCATTTGAGTCTAGTTCAATGGTTCCATCTGCAAATCGTTACCAGTTCTTGCAACTGGCTCGTGTTCGAGGTTAGTCGACATTGTGTTAGGAGGTTAAATGTGTCAAGTGCAAATCTGAAGCCTTTGAAGGCAAGGAGGAACAAACAAGACCAGCTCACCTCTAGTGTTGATATGTTAAGCCACTAAGCCACAGTTTGGCCATGTAATGCAAATAGGGAAGGCATGCAATGTACATTGATATAAATTATGCATAAAATATGTGTAAAAAGCAGTTTTCACTCTAGAAAGCAAAACCGAGCTTTTTTGGCAATGCTCGGAAAGAGTTATACTGAAGACTTTTTACAGACTACATTTTTTTGTGCATGTTGATGCCCTGGCCACACTTTGTGCAGCAGAAAAAACTAGTGACAAGGCTTTATTGGCTTGCCAATGAGCCATTTGCAAAATAGGAAGGCAGGCCCAATCCGGGAAGGATGATGTTTGTTTAGCGAATGGGGTCGATTGGTTGCAGTCAAACGTTGCCTTTGTTAGACTTGTACTGTGTCAAGTTTGCTGATGTTCATTACAAGCAAGCTGGTGCCAGTGATGAAAAACTGGGTCCACCTGATTTCCTGCTTTATTCAGGTAACATTTGGTGATGCTTTTATTGCAGTAGCACATGTAGCAATAAGGTACAAGGAAATCTTATTATTATCAATTGGCAAGCTTTAAACTGGCTTGGATGAAACTAGTTTTACATTCAGTTAGTCTCTACAGAAAGGTGTTTCATTTTGGCAGGATGTAAATATCCAGAAAAGCACTGGGCACTAGCTTGATATAGGCCAAGCTACTGTACTGTTATTCTTGCTCTTGTGCGCTGGTAAAAAAAATAAACAAAAAATATTTGCAATTAGGCCTTGAACAATGGTTTAAATCCTGGGCTGCACATGTTGACATTGTGACCCGCTGCATGTAGTGACTAACTTGTGTATACAAGGCCTTATTGCATATAATTAGGGCATGACTTCATTGACACGTAAACAACAGCAACTTGTGTTTAATGTGGTTTTAAAGGTGGAAGTTCATTGCTTGGGTAAATTAAATATGTGTGCCATTTTTACCACTAATTTCATTTGTCTGGCTAGCGTTAGGTATTCTTAATTGACCAAATATACAGGCGATTGAGAGAAATACTGTTGTTTTAGCAACATATCTGAAAAACATTTGCAGATATGTACATCCTGTAAAGCTTTCTGTTTTGCTTGCCACAGCTAGCGTCATGTTATGTGCTGGTACTAGCTGCAGGTAACTATAGTCGGGGAAAACATTTTATTGTGAACATTCTGAATGAAGGGAAGTCTACAGAACCAGACTGGGCATGTGCTCCTGCTACTGAAGAATATAGTCTCACAATTGCGTCCATCTATCCGCATGAAGATCATAAAAAAACATTATTTTCTATGGGACGGTGTTTATAAAGGGATGCAGCACGCACCAAGTAGATATTCACATTTGTTTTACTTTATGCAGAGTAATTTCGCATTTTTGCACTTGTGAGAACATCGCATGTTTTATGTGCACCTCGCAGTGAAAATGCTGTCTTCGTCTTTAGTTGAGCGTTTGTCATCCTCCGGCTATTCCAACGACTTGCCAAAGGAGCTTGTGATGAATCTCACTCATATATAGCTGTCTAAGCAGACGAAGCAAATTGTATACGTTATTATTCGAACACTGCAGTCATTCGAAATGCGAGATTGAATCAGACTACTTCGCAGAGGAGTACATGTGCAGTAGCTCTGCCCCCATAGCTTTCCCTTGATTGCCAAGAAAAGTTTTCCACGAGTAAAAATATATTTCTAGCAAAAGAAGCGGCGATTACTATTCAGAAGTTTTCTGCACATATTTACAATCTTGATATAATGTAAAGGCATCACAGGGAATAATATTGCATCTTGGTAACTATGAAGGCAAATTAAAAAAATGAAATGTGACAGTAAAATGTGTCACGGTAAAATGTGTTGTGCAATGACAAATAGTCACATGTGCTCAAAAATTAAACTTTTTAAAAATGCACCTTCTTTCATATGTGCATTTCTTTAAACCTACAGGCAATAGAGCTGTACTTTTACCACGTGCCTGATAGAGTTGAGTTTATTTACCACATACAGTTGTACAGTAAGTGGCTGGTGTAGGGATAACAAGCTGCACATACCAGCTTGACAGCGCCCCACATCCCTATGTTCCCTGTGCCAACAAAACGGCAAGAGCTAAGTAAACCACAAGACAGTTCAAACCAGCAATGCGCATGCTTTGGATTGGAACAAAGAAGGTATACAAAGCTATTCAAACCAGCAACACACATGCTGTACATTGAAAGAAATAAGTATACAAACAGAAAATAATAGTACGTATATAAACTAATAAAACTTATTTAAAATAGAAGTGTTAGAGAGCGTACAAACATTATCACAATAGAATTATTAATTTATTTAGTGTATTTGGCCAGCAATAACGCAATGCTTGGAAGCCATAATTTGTGTGCAGTCTCGGCGCATTCCAATGTTCAGAGTGTTGGTTTAGGTGCGTCGAAGGATTCAATTATAAGTTAGGCAAACTACTTATATAGCTGCAACCTTTTGTGATATCAGATCTAAAAGAGATTACTAAAAAATATTTTTAGAGCAGGTTTAATCTGATTATTATATATTAAACGAATATTTGTGAAGTATGGGCATTAAAAGGGAGGTTAGCAACAGGACAAAGAGCTTTTTTTTGTAAGATTATAAGGCTACTCATAGATTGCTTTGTTTCATAGTGACCCACCAAAATTGTCTGGCTCACTATCCTTATTCTTTTAGAGGCTTGCAGTGGCTTCTGTTCTGTGTGCATAATTTCACCAACAGCAGTGTCGTATGCAAGTTCTGAGAGTGGTAATGCTTGTCTCAAGCAGCATTTTTATTTACGCTCATGACTTTTTTTCTCTGCTTGACTGGATCTCTTTCTTGCAAAAGTGAAAGTCTTTTTGAGCAGCACCTGTGGTGGTCTGTGCAACATTGTTAGAAGCTAACATGGGTTTCATGCACACCAGCAATGTGATGGCTACATTCCTTTTTCTGGCTTGCCTCATTGCCTCCATAGTCTAACTGGCTGCACTTCCACGTCTTCTGGTGTGCACACCTTAGATATTTATTTTTGTTTTGTTACCTCATTTGAGCTGCTGTCCTTTTTACAGCTATTGTCTGACCTTTCTGCATTAATGGCCTGTGTTTACATGCTACACGTTTGTTCTTGTAAGACCTCCTGAAAACATTTTTCTTAAAAGGCCTATGTAAGATTGAATAATTGAAACGAACCGTGAGTAATAATAATGATTGTTTAGTTTTATATTCCAAAACCACTATACGATTTCGGGATACACCGTATTGAAGGGTTTCAGAAATTTTGACTCTTGGGAGGGGAGGGGGGGGGAGAGAAGTTCCTAGGCCACGCT